ATGGCAGGGAACCAGAATAGGAACAAAGGCGTAGCTGCATACACTCCAGGGTGAGGTCTCACGCGCAACGAATATGGAAAGGCTCCTTACAGATTTCTCTGCAGTATTCAAGGAGCCCAAGGGGCTTCCCCCTTCCAGAGCCTACGACCACCGAATTCCTCTGATAACTGGATCAGATCCCATTGTTGTTCGGCCCTACCGCTACCCACATCGGCAAAAAGATGAAATAGAGAGGCAGTGCGCAGACATGTTACAGCTAGACCTGTTCATGGGCCGGGTGGCCCGACGGGCTGGCCCGGCCCGGCCCGACCCCCGGACGGGCTTAAATAGGTATATAGGCCCGCGGGCCAAAAAGCCTGGCCCGCAATAAATTTGAGTCAGGCTCGGGATTTGCCTAAATAGCCTGTCCCGACCTATAACGAAACTTAAAAACCCTAATTGAATACCCCTCTTTTTTTCACCTCTTTCCCTTCTTTTTCCAACCGAATTCTTATTCTCCACATCCTCTTTCCCTTTTTTATATTCTTTTTTTAATATAAATAAATTTTGAATTTATACTTTTTTAATGTAAATAAATTTTGATTTATATTGATTATTGAATAGGGAAAAATTCTAATTTTTTTTATTAGGTCGGGCTTCTGGCTCAGGCTCGAGCTTCGGGCTTTTTATTAGGGCCGGGCTCAGGCCCAAGTTGTAGGCCCGTTGGTCGGGCCGAGCTCGGGCTCGGGCCTAATATATTTCTGTTAATGATGAATAAAAGCCCGACCCGGCCTGGCCCATGAACAGGTCTAGTTACAGCAAGGAATCATCCGCCCCAGCCGCTCCCCCTTCTCCTCTCTAGTTCTTTTGGTACCCAAGCAAGACGGGACTTGGAGATTCTGTGTAGACTACAGGGAGCTTAACAACCAGACGGTCAAGGATAAATTTCCTATCCCCGTCGTAGAAGAACTGTTGGACGAGCTCCATGGTGCGCAGTATTTCTCCAAACTATACCTCCAATCAGGATACTTCCAGGTCCGAATGATTCTAGAAGATATAGAGAAAATGGCCTTCAGAACACACCATGGCCACTTCGAATTCCTGGTCATGCCTTTCGGTCTTAGCAACGCCCCCTCCACGTTCCAGGCCCTGATGAACGAGGTGTTTGACTCCCATCTCCGCAGATTTGTCTTGGTATTCTTCGACGACATCCTAGTCTATAGAAAACCATGGGTAGAGCACGTGCAGCATCTGCGGATCGTTCTTGAACTCCTACAACAACATCAACTCTTCCTCAAGCGATCAAAATGCTCCTTTGGGGAACGCATGGTCCTTTACTTAGGACATGTGATCAGCGGTCAAGGGGTCACTGTAGATGACTCCAAGATTCAGGCCATCAAGGAATGGCCCAGACCGCAATCCGCCAAGGCTCTCCGCGGTTTTCTAGGGCTGACAGGCTACTACCGCAAGTTCATTCACAATTACGGACTACTAGCAGCCCCACTAACAAATCTGCTCAAGAAAAATGCCTTCCTCTGGGACAGTACAGCTGATGCAGCCTTTGTAAAATTAAGAGAAGCCCTCTCCTCCACACCGGTTCTACAATTGCCAAACTTTGATCTTGAGTTCACAGTGGAGTGCGATGCATCTGGCACCGGCATAGGCGCCATACTACAGCAGCAAGGGCATCCAATCGCTTTCTTCAGCCGCAAGCTGGCCAACCGCCACCTTAAGTTGCCCGCCTACGAACGTGAACTTATTGGACTAGCTAAGGCAGTGCAGCACTGGAGGCCGTACTTGTGAGGGAGAACCTTCATAGTCAAGACGGACCACTACAGCCTCAAGTATTTGCTGGAACAATGGCTCACCACCTCGCTGCAGCAGCATTGGGTCAGCAAACTTCTTGGGTTCGACTTCCAGATAGACTACAAGGCAGGGGCCTTGAACCGTGCCGCAGATGCCTTGTTCCGCCGAGAAGAAGATATGCTCCTCCATGCAATCTCACAGCCCTGAGCCTCCCTACTGGAAGACATTCGGAATGAACTGCCACAATCACCCGAATGGAACGATCTAATCAAGAGACTACAAGCCGAAACGACCAACCCAAATTGCTCCGTGCACGACGGTTTGGCACTATACAAGGGACGAATTTATCTCTCGACCGACTGCCCCTTCATTCCCTCCGTTATCTCCAGCATACACAACGCCACGCATGAGGGTATCCAGAAAACACTACACCGCATCCATGTGGATTTCCACTGGCAGGGTATGAAGGCTTCGGTACGAGACTTCATCCAGAGTTGTTCGATGTGCCAGCAGCAGAAGTGGGAAAACTTGCATCCAGCAGACCTTCTCCAACCTCTCTCACTCCCCACTCAGATCTGGGCAGATATTTCCATGGACTTCAACGAAGGCTTACCCAAGGTTGGAGGGAAATCGGTGATATTTGTGGTGGTGGACCGCTTCTCCAAGTATGCTCACTTCCTTCCCTTATCTCACCCCTACAGCGTGGTTTCAGTCGCCCACACCTTCTTCGCCCACATCTTCCAATTGCATGGGCTACCCGAATCCATTGTAAGTGACAGGGACCCGATCTTTACCAACGCCTTCTGGAAGGAGCTCTTCCGACTGTAGGGAACAGACCTGGCCTTCTCCTCCGCTTACCATCCACAGACTGACGGCCAAACAGAGGTGGTGAACCGAACAATAGAGATGTACCTCCGCTGCCTTGTGGGAGACCAGCCCAGATGTTGGGTGGAGTGCCTTCCGTGGGCCGAATACTGTTACAACACGTCCTACCACTCCTCCCTTGGCATGACTCCCTTCCGCGTGGTGTATGGCCGAGACCCTCCCCATCTTATATCTTACGAACCCGGTTCAACACGGTTGGAAGAAGTGGATTAAGACCGCGATGCCCTTCTGACCGAAGTCTCCTTACGCTTGCAGCAGGCACAGGCGCGCATGAAGCACGCCTACGATCAGCACCACCGTGAAGTCACCTTCAAGCCGGGACAGTTCGTTTGGCTGAAGCTCCAACCCAGCAGCTCTCCCTTAGGCATCGAGTCCCCCCTAAGCTAGCCCCCAAATTCTATGGGCCCTTCAAGGTTCTACGACAGATCGGGAAAGTTGCCTATCAGCTCGAGCTACCAGAGCACAGCAGAATCCATGACACCTTACATGTGTCCCTACTGAAGCCTTTTACAGGGACTCCCCCTGATCAAGTGCCTTCCCTACCCCCTCTAAAGGACGGCAAACCCATCCTCCAACCTCGAGCTCTTGTCCGATCACGCATCAATCAGGGTACCTTCGAGGTACTAGTGGAATGGGACGGACTACCATCAGCTGAGGCCACCTAGATCCCCTGGACCGATCTTCACAATGCCTACCTAGATCTCGAGCTTGAGGACAAGCTCGTTGTCCAGGAGGGGTGTGATGTTATGGACGCACGCAAGCATAGGCAGCAGCACGCACCACCCGGCAGCAGCACTAGAGAGGGGCCCACATGACAGCTCAGCAAGGTGGGTCCACACTTATCTTGCCACAACAGCTCTGCTCACCAACTTGCCGCCAGTTGCATTATCCCTCATCCCTTATCCTTATCTTATCTTATCTTCTTAGTAAGAGTTCTGTTTGCCACTAGAAGTAGGAGTTGTGTTACCATTAGAAGTAGGTAATTTATTTAGAAGTAGGAGTTTGAGTTTGATATGGATTACCCTAGCTTAGCCGAATCCAACAAGGAATCCCCTTTTGTAATCTCCTATTTAAGGAGCTATGAGTTGAAATAAAGGCATTGAGTTTTCGACCAAGAAAGGTGTAAGGAATCTCGACGGTGTTGCCCTGAGGTGTTTCTCCCTCGGGACACTTAGCCAAAAGCCGGGGTGCTCCCTTCTTAGGAAGGGAGAGCTCGGGTCCTGAGAGGAGTTCGGGCTCTAAGAGGGGTTCGGGATCTCCTACACTTGGTGGGAGTCAAGGTTGGTCGGGCGCTAGTCCTCGGCGAGTCGCTTAACCCGCCGAGCGGCCAATGTTGGACTCGGTGGGTCCCTCCCGTCGAGTCACGGTTGTGTTGTTAAACTTAGCTGTTCGTCGAGCCAGGTCATGCACACGTGTCCCTGTGCTACGAGGTCGGGCCAAATCACCCTCCATCAGGTCTGTTGGGAGGATCCAACCATTAACCGATTGTCAGTAAAGCAATTAGTGAGCAAAACTCCATATATACGAGTGTAATTTAGTCTAATGAACTCTTTATCCTTTGCACTTTGTGATCATGTTGCATGCCACGCTGGTGCAACTGCAGGCATACTTGGACTATTCAGTAAATGGACCATCATTAAGTAAGCATACAGGACAGGAGTTAGGTTCACAAGCTTATCTACCCATTTCCCAGCTGCTTTCTTGGAAATCTGCGGGCGTTTGGAGATAAAAAGACAGAATACACTTGCAGCTGGTTGTGCTGCCTTTGGTTCACAAGCTTATCTTCTCTACCAAAAGTTTATGCATGTTATATATAATATTATATAGAGACAAAGTTGTATTCCTTCTTGACAATTTTGTAATGGTGCATGGGTGGTACTTGTACAAAGGATGTAAAATTGGATCGGATTCAACTTGATTCAAATCTCAAATTTCAATGAATCTGCATTATCTGAAGAATTGAAGTTTGGATATACCCCTATTCGAATTCTAAATGGGCACAATCTTTTAACATTTATGTCTTGAACATGTATAATTTACAGTGATCTAATTAAGACTATCATATGTGAAACTCTTCACATGGTGCTTGCTTGCTACTACAGTACTACTCATCTACCACATTAATAATTGAGAATGACCTATATTTTATATTTACTTGTGGGGCCTTGGTTTTCTGTGGATACCCAACGTCATGGTCACCAAGCGTGCACAGAAGACAGAACTAATAATTTATATAAAGGATATCTAGTCGTCAATTGTGTTGAAACAGGAGCAGATAAGCGATAAGCGAAGGTGCAGAAATGGATTTGAACCAGATTTGCAAGGTAAGGTCGTCTCTTCTGTATTTCCTTGTTGTAGACTCTTTACAATGTGAATTCATTTCTTAGTTTGCATTGATAGAACGCCAAGTTGCTCTTCCAAAACAAAGAAGGGAGGGAGTTCTCAATCCCCTTTCCTCTATCAGTTTTCTCTCCCTTTTTCTTTTTGTCTGGCTAAAAGATCAGAGAAACGTTCTTCAGTAAGTAGTAAATTAAGAATTGATCATTGAAATTATTGTTTTATTTCACTCATAATTAAGTTGCTTACTCTCAGGGTAGCATAGAATAGATTTGGGTTTTAATCCTGTCTTGGGTTTTCTGACATGCTAACAACTACCAGACGATCTGTTTGCAGAAAAATGATGCCGATGGTACTAGTTTTCTTTTAGAATCCTATGATCTAGAGTTAGAGGCTAGAGCTTCTATATCATAAGTTTCCCCTCTTCAGTCTTCGATCTCTTCTTAATTTTTGCTCCCTAACTTCCCAGGCGATGAAAAGGAAAAATGATTGATGATTAATCCTCCTATTCCAAGATCTCTTTCTTTTCTTCATCCAACTCCGAGAAGTGGAAACCTGAAAATATCTGGAGCTCCACCCAGTGTACAGGTCTCATTCTGTACATGTGTTGTCTGTTAAACGGGTTGAGTAGTCAGTTATCAAGTGGCTCCAACCCTCATTTACTGGTTCAGTAAAGACAAATCAATAATTAAGTTGAGCCAATTATCAGTTATCAAGTGGCTCCAACCCAAGTGGACCGTCACAATTCTTTGCATAGTTGATAGATACCTACTACGTACAAATCCAGTGATTAATTTACACAGGAAACAAGTTAAGTCTGTTTTTTTTTTGGATAGTGCTTTGTTTGCTCTGTTTATTCCTCTGGTTAAATGACTGCATCTGCAATTCTGCATGCTTTGCTTTGCTTGGACAAAATTAAGGACAAGAAGAAGAAGACGGTGCAGCAATCCATGCTGCTATGCTGCAAGCTTTACATCTCTGAAACACGAAACAATTCGGCTCTTGAGTCAATCGAACGAGCTGCCAGGCTCAACCCAGAAACCGTAATCGTAAACAAATTCCAAGATGGTGTTTACAACAGGGTGAGGTTCACGCTTGTTTCTTATGTTGCTCATGATAGCACTGGGAGTCCCATCTATAGCCCCTTGCAGCAGACAGTGCTGGCCATGGTGGGAGCGGCTTATGAAGCCATTAACCTGGAGCTGCACTCGGGAGCACACCCAAGGCTTGGAGTGGTCGACCATATCTGCTTCCATCCCTTGGCTCGAGCTTCCCTGGATGAAGCAGCTTGGCTTGCTAAATTAGTGGCCGCTGATATTGGCAACAGGCTCCAAGGTACGTTCTGCCTAATTACTACACACAGACCCACTGGCGAATGGGTCCGGGAGTACCAATCAGCCCATATCAGAATTTACTAGGCCCAAAGTACAGGGGAAATGTATCCTGACCGTGAATTGATGTCAAATTCACGGACAGGATGTGGTTTATAGACTAGTTTTAGGGGGGCTGGAATTCAGAATTCTGCATCTTGTGTGTTTCCGAACTTTTCCCTTATGGTCATGTCAAAAATAAGCAAGCCCAATCAGATAAGTCTTTCGAGGTCGGATGCATCCACTTTTTTCTCCAATCAAATGCAGTAAAATCATATCTTCTGCTCATCCAAATTTTGGCCCGGCCAATAGTAAGTTTCCATTTATAATTTATATATATATAATAGATAAAAAGAAAGAAAATAGAATTGGTTATTTTATTATTATTTATTATAAGGTTTAAAGTACGTCTCGTATCATATCGGCAAACACTGATATTTTAAATACAAGATCCCTGACCCTGATCAATTTAAAAATAAAAAATAAAAAAATAAAAATAATATTTTATGATATGGAAACACAAACAGCTGATATCCATGTTCTTGTATTTCGAGTGTATTGATACTTTTAAACCATGATATATTATTAGTATTAGTATTAGTATTGGTAAAATTTTGAATACACGCAGTGCCCGTATTTCTGTATGAAGCCGCACACCCTACTGGTAAGGCTCTTGATAGCATTAGGCGCGAGATGGGCTATTTCCGGCCAAATTTCATGGGCAATCAATGGGCAGGCTGGGCTCTTCCTAATGTACTTCCTGAGAAGCCAGATGAGGGCCCGACTGAGGTGTCTCCGGCCAGAGGCATCGCCATTATCGGTGCAAGTCCGTGGGTAGCATTGTACAATGTACCAATCATGTCCGCAGATGTCTCAGTCACCAGAAGGATTGCTCGGATGGTAAGTGCGCGGGGCGGTGGGCTTCCCACTGTACAAACATTGGGTCTTGTCCATGGTGAGGATTCAACCGAGATAGCATGCATGCTATTGGAGCCCAACCAGGTTGGAGCTGACAGGGTGCAGCACCGAGTGGAGATGCTAGCTGCTCAGGAAGGATTGGATGTGGAGAAGGGGTATTTCACTGATTCTTCACCAGAGATGATTGTTGAGAAGTATATGAAACTGGTTTCTGATAACTCAGAGCATGTGGGTTGAACTCTATTTCAGCAACTGAACCCATTGAACGCTCACTGATAGGTTCTATAACTATGTACTATATAATAAAAGAATGTCTGCAATGTCAAGCACTACACCATTAATCCAATCTGGTGTTTTGTTACTCCTTTATTGGTCCATTTACTTGATCTGAAAATATCATAAGTTGGTCCTCAGAGCCGTGGCAATGGCCACAGCAAACCCCAAAACTTTACTATTGGATTTCGAACTTATAAGTTGGTTCTCGGCTTCAGTCAGGGCAAAGCCCATTTGAACAGTTTTTATTGCCTTGCATTGAGAATATCTCCATACTTGTGTGCTTTATTTCATGGAGAAATATTCCCAATGCGAGATTATAAAAGACTGTTAGAATGGTGTGGGCACAGATTTCTCCTAATAAAAGCCAATCTCCTCTGTTTGGTGTACTAATGAGCACAATACTTTTGGGCTATGCCTTGCATTGGCTGCCTCACCCTCATATGTTGGTCGATTTTTCTTGCAAAAAAGATATCTCATACAAGTATAAGAGCACGTTGACAAGAAAATACTAACGATATATGGTATATATTATTTGGATTCAACTTTTATAATTTGCACTCAAGTATCAAGTGTAATATAATATGTAGATATATAGATTGGATATAAATATATCTAAAAGAGGCCATATAGTGTAATTTATTTTTAGGTGTTTTTAGAAAGAGAGGGGGTGTTTGGACAATGGTTTCCAACTTGAGATATGAAAGAGGAAAGTGACAGCAGCTGCAGTCTTTTGAATTGAAAACAAGGATTTGTTTGTTTTACATTCTTTTTAAAGTGAAGAATAAATCCATTTTTTCTGATGGATTAGGCAAAAGGTCAAATCACATAAATCTGTCTTCTTTTCAGCCTCATTTTCGGGGAAGTGAGGGCATGTAAGTTGGTATGTCTCACATAACAAATAAATCCATATTTGCTAATACATAAGAAATAAATCCATAATGTTACTTTTTAGATTAAACAATTATTATATAACTTTACCTAAAAATAAAAAAACACCGATCAATGCGAGTGTTTTTCAAAAAAACACTGTGCATTTAACCAAACAAATAACTAACCAAGACATGAACGAGGCCTTCAGAGAGCGGGAAAAAATCTTATCTAATACAAAATTTGTACTTTTGTTTCATTTCCACTCCAAACAGTTCAAATAAATTTTGCATCTCATGCAAATTTTGCACCACTTCCACCTACCTCAATTCTCTCTACAACACATCATCTAATTTCATACATTATTCCTAAAAATATTACCGTCCTACCTACCATCTCCATTCTCTTGCATACAAGGCTCGAACAACATCTTATTTCGTTTATCTCAAACAAATAAAACAATACCAAATTTGAAGCAAGAAAAAACCACATTAACACTCAGCCTATCTGCAGTTTGCACTCCCATGCATTACGCTAATGTAAATTTGCAACCAAACTTGAGCCAAAATGACATGATGCAGGGAAAGGCCTGTTAAGGCTGTCCGGATTTAAACAACCAATTTTTTTTTCAGAACAAACAAAACAGTTTGGCTATCCATGTTTGACAGCCAAACTAATATAAAAATCAGAGTGAGGGTAGTGAACACCTGCGTACAACCACCAAAAAGAAAAAAAGAAAAAAACAAAGGAATGTACAAGAAGCTAGTAACAGGAAAAACACGCTGACGTGTTCACTCTTGATTGGATGCATAGCCCATTGTATATGCCTTTGTTTATAGTAATTCAGGGCCATTTCGGCTTTTTCCCTATAACATCTCAAGTAGAAGACCGCAGTGCCGCACCGACAATTTTTCTTTCTTCACTAATCTGTAATCACTTCTTTGTTGCTTCCTTTGGTTATTGGCTCCACCTCCACATGCCCGAGCCAACCACGCGGGCACGCTTTGAAGCATTCCCACCATTCTTTAAAGCGCGCATTAACTATATAACCAAGTCAATTTACATCAACATCAACCATTTACATCTATTAATGCATCAATGTACACTTCTATTAACTGATTCTGACGTCTGAAATGAACAACGCTTGCTATAAAGATCTTCAGACAAAAGCTTCTGAAACAATTCTTTCAACCTCTCAGCACCTGGGCCTGGCCGAAATACTGAATCCTCACCTCTCAAGGAGCAGGGGTCAACCCCTCCATCAGAGCTTCCAATGCACCATGCACCAGGAGCAAACCTGCCTTCAGACCTACCCAGAAGCTCTTTGTCAATCTTGTCCAAGACTGAGTCATCCTTGGTGAACTTCCGAGCAAATGGGGCCCCACTTTTTACCATGTTATCAAAGTCTTTGATTGTTAACAAGCGAGGATGCTGCTTTGGAGGATTATCCCAAGCAATGTAGTGGAGGTCATGGCTCACAGCAGTTTTGTTGAACTCCTCTGTATTGCAGATGACAGTGTGGAAGTAACCTTCCGGGGAGGAGACAAAATTTGTGTAGTACATAAGGACAGTACGAGGGAGGTTGTCCCAACCCCATATGCAGTATTCAAGGAAGGATCTACTAAGCATTATCCATGCCGAACCTGAAAATAGCATAAAAGAAAACTAAATATCTAGAAATTTTCAATTAAATCTGAAGAAAATATTGATGGAAATTTTCTAGAAGACTGAGGTTTGTAAAGATTAGGTTAATCATGTTCTGGCAAGCCACCAGAAGCAGCAAACAAGTAGGTGGATGAACCCAATGGTTTCCACATCAAACCAGCTTCAATAAATCTTGGAGTCTGAGTTACCATAGATGACATGAAAAATTCAATCAAACGATAACAAGGTATATATAGAAGTTTCTTGAAGGCACATAGAGAAATTTCTTGATGTGGTAGTCAAGATTCAAGAACAAGTGAACCACTGGACAAAATCTTTCAGTCATTGAGTTTTGATAAAAGAATTCCACTAGGCAGCAAAACTGGCCCAAATTTTGAGTACTACTGCTCCTTGAGAGTTTCAACAGGAGGCCTCAAAAGACAACTCTTTTGCAAGGATAAAGGTAATGAACCTGTTTGTGACTAAGAATACACAATCACCCAAAAATAGAACATTAGAGTGCGAAGGTTCTGGGGATTTTGTCGCAACTTTGTAAGAAGAATGCAATGTACAAGGGCAGTGATACAAAAGATGATAGGAGGTAAAAACAGTAGTGCAATGGCATCATCTTCAACCACAGTAATTATTTCTTTCTTTTAGCTTGTCTCACAAGTCTTAGCTCCCATGATGGTTAGTGTTTTTTTCTTCTATACTTTACACAATGGTTAGTTCAGGTGGTGTGGATTCCACCTTGCCAACATAAACATTCCAGAAGAGATAAGGTGTGTTTTGGGATCCAGACAGGCCAATATCTGCAAATCCCCAATTTTGATTCCAAAAGTTGGGAGGAGCAATTACCTGAAGAGCTTACCAATTTTATACTAGAAAATTATTCAAGGTGAAGACAACTGTTCGGGCTGACATGATGGATACTCATGATGAGGAAAACACTCAGGTTGACATGGTAACGAGGACCAAAGCCCAGGCTTTCTTCTATTTTTTGGTTGTCGATGTGGCTTTCAACTCCATTGGAGTGGCATGCTGTACACTCGACCTAATTAGAGAGTTAGCAGAGTTAGTATAGCAAGGTACACACAGGGCCCACTGCCATTAACCTGCACCTCTGAAAAGCAAGGGATACCAAGCAATCAGCTCAACTATGGGGTCATTGGCGACCAAAGCTCAGACTGAGACTACAAAAATTCTAGATAGAAAACTGGAGCTTAGTAAGAAATTGGGTGAAGGAGCATTTCACATGCTCAATGAAAGGAATTGTCAGGAATAAGACCAAGTCATTAGTAACCCTGTTCCGAAGGTTGGTGAGGAACAGCCATCAAAAGCCATTTAAAGTGAGGAAGAAGATAATGAAGAAATTTGCAGCTTTACAATGATGCTTCAGGATATACTGGAAGAACCAATTGCAAGAGAAGGAAAACAGAGGGGAAAGATTGGAAAAGGGCAACCTTGGCTATTAGAATACTAGGGAGAGGATGCAATGGAGAAAGTTTTCTTGATTGGTGTGTGTGTCTGTGTGTGTTTGTGGGTGTGTAAGCATTAAACATGACAAAATGACAAAACAGGGTCATGTAGCTGAACCCATAAGTGGACGAAGCTTAGATGAAAATGACAATGATCAGAGTAAAGTTGTACCCCAATTAAATAGCTCTTATGACTTCCTTTTAAGTTGGTTGTTGAGATCATAGGAGGAAGAAGGGTTCCTGGTCAGATTTTAGGTTCATGGTCCACAATATATGAAGCCTAAATATGGATATTGACACAGACACAGATAAGGAAAACATGGTACAACCCTAAATTTCCTAAGATCCTGGAATATAGATATGGGTTGTCCCATTTAATATGTTTCCTACAGCCTATATCGAGCTTTTGTATCTAGTTTTCTAATGTAACTGTCATTTCTTAATACTTATATCTCACTATTTTTAATTTACAATATGGGTTACTCCATTTGCCTATATCATGCTTTTGTCTTCAGTTTTTGAAGATGTGTGTCATTATTCAATGATTGTATCTTGTCCAATTCAACTTAGCTTTTAACATATACAGTTTTTATGGTATGGTTTGTTAAAACATATGATTTTACTTTTTACATATTTTATAAGTGTTAACGCTACCAAAAAACACTCTAATTGTCAATATCAGATACTCTAGAATTGTCCATGATGATAGAATAGGCTTACATAAGTTTAATTTGTGTTTTTCTCTGGTTCATTATGCAATCCAAGTTCCAGTTGCCATCAAGGAACCAAACATAAGATGGATAATTAGATATATGGAGTTATGGTCATGAGTTATGTATGCAAGCAATTAGGGTTCCATCCAGATATCAATATGCAGAAAATTTTGTCAAATAATATGATGAAATTAAACTGTTAGAACTCATTTATTTTTATTATTTTCTTTCTTTATGCTAATATGTCATCATATTTACATGTTTTCTGAGTTGTACACACAGCAGGGGTACATTTGTCATTGTACATTTATCATATAAATAATAAAGCATAGGTGTATGCCATATATGTTTTTTCTTTTTCTGGACCACCAGAGGTAAACAGAAAGAATCTAGGGTCATCCTGTCACTGTTGACATCTCCTACGAAATATCTTGGTAAGGCACGTTAACAAGGTGCCACCTGTATGAACTTGATTTAAAAGCAGTGGGATGTCCAGCAAGAGATAAAAATTTAGTTTGAGAAAGGAAATTGATTTTGTGCAAAAGAGAACAAGATGAAAACTAGTAAATAATAGGCAAAATCTAAGGTGCAGAAACTACACCGTGAAGCAAAAAATGTGAACCATGATCATAGTTGTCAAGGCAAAGCCTAGGCAACAAGGCACCCTTGGAGGATCGCGTTGCCAAATCTCCAAGTAGTTTTGTATACTATGTTATAAAATACTTTTATATTGTTAATTTTTTGATATTATAATTATAAAATAGACATTATTAAACTAAAATCTTCATTTTTTGTTTATATACTAATTTCTTTTTATTATTTTCTTATTTGTTTTTTTTTGGTTAATTAGCAATACTTTTTCCCCTTTTCCCCTTTACCCCCCCCCCCCCTTTTTCTGTTTTCCAAAGTGCTGGTTGCAGGATTTGATTCCGCATCAATGCTGGGACTACCCAGCTAACACACCAACGAGCCAGCCCTCGATTGGTGTTATTTTCTTATTTGTTAGGGTTTAATCAACGCAAGCATTGCTAATTGCTGTATTGAACCCCCAAAGACTTCAAAACCTGAACCAATAAGGAGGAACTTAAAGTTTTGTCTAATCAACACATCATCATCTTTTTTTTTCTTCTTTTCCTATAACAAAAATAGGGGTCCAGCCCCTATATTTTTTGAATTTTCTTTTCTTTCTTCTTTTTCTTCTCATAAATAAGTTGATTTTCCAGACTTTAACATGAAGCTTATACTTATGAAAATTATGGATAATTATTAAGGGAATCTGGTTATGGAACCTAGGGAACTACCCTACTATATATGGTTTTTACTTAAAAAAATCCATCACCTAGGCGACTAGACGACAAGGCACTCCCCTATCACCTAGCCTCGCCTTGGCACCTTGAAAACTATGACCATGATAAAGTGACAAGTCATAGTTGACATCTTTAACTTGTTGAAACCTTTAATGGTAAGCACACCTGGTGAAACATAAACCAATGAAAAGTAAGTAGCCTATGTGGCATCTTTAACATGATTGGGTGAGATTTAACGTTGTCACAAATGTTCATTTCTATACAACAATCAGAACTCTAAATGATATACTTTGATTTTATAAAACCAAAAAGGCAGCCATTGCTACACATAAGGTGAACCAAATTGCAAACCAGTTCCTTGAATAGCAGTTTGCAATGGACAGAGTGCAGTAGCAAGCAGTGAACATGCTATGTCATGTGGATCAATGTTTTAAAAAGTGGAGCTGTGACACAAGGCCTTCCACCATCCTAAGGTGTGAGGCATAAACCAGAGCACAAGTGTAAGCCTCCTGGGTATGGTTTTTCCAATAAAAAATAAACAAAAATAAAATAGTAAATATCCCATAAAATAAGAAAATTTACAAGAAATTAGACAATAATTAAACCATCACATTTAACTATAAATTGATGCAATGGGATTCATTGGCAACAGGATTCATGTAGCCAACCTCATATAGTTGGGATAAGGCTAAGATTATGATGATGATTTAAATATACAAATGAAGTATCATCACATGAAGTTTCATTAGTCATCAATATATCACTTGCAATGTTGAAAATCAAAATTTCAGATTGCACTACATTATCCAATATAGTTCTGTTGTCTCACATTCAGATGATTGCAATGCTTTAAAAGAAATCAAAGCCCCCACTTCTATTTATAACATTTAATTATAAACATTACAACAAACAAGTTTGGAGAGTTTTTCATCCTCGGTATTATGTTAATAAATAATAGGGAACACAGTAAAATGGTGCCCTGTGCCCCTAGTTTATAACATTTTATTATAAAAATTAGCTTAAAGGTACAAGCATGAGTACACCTCCTGTATAAAGTGAACAAAGACGTATGCCTTTATACTGTCTCCAGGCATTTCCTTAGCACCTCGCCTGGAGGTGCACCTCCAGGCATATGCCTTCAGTGCCTTTTAAAACACTGATGTGGACTTAAATTTCAAGCTTGCTTGCATCAATTTCAAAAAGAAATTTCAGTGGAACATTTCATCGTAGCAATCAAGCCAAACGAGTGTCTCTGTGAGGAGAGTTTGATACAATCAAAGGGAGATGTGAACACACGCAATTGAGAAAATAGATAACTGTAAGTTACCTGTAAACAATTTGAAAGATGTTGGAAGGGAACGGCGTTGAGTAGTCAAAAAAATATCAGATTTTTTCGATAAGTAAAGACCTGGGTCAATGATGATTGGTTTTGCCCTCTGGTTCCTGAATAAGTTTGTGAGATTTTTATCAGAATACACACTAAAGTTGAATTAGAAAAGAACATAAAATGAAAATGTGCATTTGGTACAGTTATATGTACTTACAATTTCCACCCAGCAATTGGTGTATGTTCAATAAAATTGAGATCCCTGGACAGATTGGCAAAAACATGAAGCAGATCTGTGCAACAAAGAAAATTTTGATTTATTTTCCCATAAAAACAGGCCAAATACATAAATGCCTATGCATGTGTACTTTTCTGTATTTCTAGGAATAATAATGCAATCACTGAGGATTATATGATGAAGAAAATAAGCCAAACTCAAACTTCTACAAGAACCTTTTTTTTTTTTTGATAAGTAACTTCTACAAGAATGTTATTTTTTGGATTATAAGATGTATATATGTATAAGTACCTTTGTGTATTTTTAGGATAAGAATGTAACAAGGTAGGATCAGTGTTTTAAAAGTGCAAGGCACAAAAAATGCACAAGGGCCAATTTGTGCCCAAGGCGCAAGGCGAGGTGTGCGCCTTTTTGAAGCAAGGCACAAAAATACAAAAAAAAAATGCTAAAGAATAAAAAATGTCAGAAAATTCAAAAAATGCCAAAATTTTCAAAAAAAAATGTTAAACATAATATTAATAAAAAATATACTTAAGTTTTAAAATAAATGTTTTAAAATAACCTATTATCTAAAATTAAAATACATAAACATAACATGTAAAGCATATTCAAATGAGAATTTAAAAATAAAATCGAACATATAAAACATTTTCAAGCAACAAAATGGCTAAATCATTCTTTGCAGATTTCCCAAGATAAAGTATATTCGGAATGCCAACTCCCTAAGACCATAACTTTTCACCTAGAAGTTCAAATAAGGAGTTCTACTTACTGTTTTGAAGATCTCCCCAAGAACTATGATTTGGAATCAAAATCTGGAAAAAACGTCACCGAAGGACTTGTTTTTGGTGGCCTAAAGTTGGATGGCGTTCAGCCTGTTACAATCTAAAATCTAACATAATTCATAATCTACAAATCCAAATGCTACAAGATTGGATCTGTTGGGGAGAAAGATCCATGGAGTTCGTGCAGGCAAGTCAGTGGAGGAGATCTTTGAAGATAGAAGCAAAAAATCTCATGTTCGAAGAGATGAGAATCAAGGGGAAAGTAAGCCTGAAGGTAAGGGAAGCGAAAAAGGGTACAATATTGCTAGAAGGATTAGAAGTGATCGAGTGGCTAAGAGAGTTCATAGTTGGAGCCTGTTCAAAAGGTAAGCAGATAAACTGGCAGGATTTTAGTACATTAGAAGGGAGAAGATATGTTGTTGAATGT